ATTGTTAAGAATTTTTTTCTTAATAGAGATACAATTGAAAAAAATTAAATTCAAAGTTTAAGTCTAAAAGTTCCAGCAATCTAGAGGTGCCATCACAAAATGCTCTTACCTAAGCCCCATGGTGGGGTTGAGGTATAGATCCTCCATCTCTAGGCCACCTTCTCGGGCCCCCTCCATTTTTAATTTCTGGATCCGCCACTGGTCATCATCATTATTATTATTAGGATTGATACTACTACTACTAAACGTAGTTTTAAATAATAAGCTGTAGGTTTGTGTTTTATGTATTTCTGTATCTAGCTTATTGCTTCAGTGTTATATTTAAGCCTTGGCTGCTTGTTATTGATTAAATAAAGTGTATCTGAATATTATTAAACAAATCTTTATAAACACTTGCAAAGGGACCAAAACCAAACTGAACTATACAATAGCACACTTCTGTATCTTAAAAGACATGGCCTGGGATTTACAGATTTTAAGACGAATTAAGCTGGCTTAAGTTTGTTGAATCCAACCTTGAGCGGTAGCCGTTGTTAACCCGGTACTTTTTACTTTTTGCATTATCGTGTAAGCCAATAGTGAAAAATTGATTAATCTAACGAATATTCCACTGGGCTACTATCATGTAGCGGCTGTTTTTTATTGATAAACGTTTATGGTGGATTTCTATCAGAGCAGGTCACAAACCTGTAGAATTTTGCACAGCATTTAAATCAACACTAAACTATGTAATAATATATGCTGATGCATATTTACATATTTTAGAATTATTCATTTTGAGTGGTCCCAGGTAAGAAATTGTATTGGTTAGCAAGAACCATCTTTAAAATTCTAACACTGTTTACAGTTAATTACCGGCCAATCAAAGGGTCAATGGAAGATAGTAAAATATTGAGGAACGTTTAGTGGTGGGGGATGAACGGAATTCTAAGAATCTAAGCGTCAGTGGCAGAGTAGCGAGTGAAATACTTGTTCGAGTATCAACAATTCTTCAAAGTTAAAAATCAGACATGGATATGAACAATTGAATATTACCATTCAAATTTAATGGACACCTGTAAGTTAAGAATATTCATTTCTGTGGTGTAAAACAGCTTCTTTATAATCAGCACAACAATGCTTACTTTATTTATAATAATGCGACAAAATACTAAAACGTAAAATGTTAACATTAAATAAACTTCTATTGGAAGATTATATATATAATATAAAACGTCCACAATACACTTTTTTAAACATTAACTAACTTGACATAAAAGCAGATAAATAATATTACGTATATGCCTATATGTTATATTTATATATTATATACCGTATTATGTATAATATTATCGTATAATAGTAAAGTAATGAAAAAAATGAGTTAAAATATATAGGATAAATTGTCCTCAATACACATTTTTAAAACATTAATTAAATTGACATCAAAGCAGACAAATAGTATAATCTGTATAGGTATGTATGACATAATAACTAATAATAGAAGTGGTGAAAAGAATTAAAATATAAGCAATGTTATAACCTTAAACACAATGAGGGATAGGGTAGATTAATTATTGGTATCATTTAGGTTTTACGAGGTGTCCTAATTTACCAACAAAATCAAATGCCTTTTTCTATAATAATCTCGAGTTTATAGAGCTAGGCCTATTATATAACCATTAAGTATATACCGGTAATCATGATTAATGTACAATTCTAATTATTAGATGAATATCATATCATTTTAGCACCAGATGAGTTACTGCAGTTAACTTAAGCAGCACGGAACACCAACGATTTGTTAGAATAGATTAATCGTTTCAAATCACTGTATTTTCGGCTAAACCACATATTGTCATTAGACAATGAATGGGTGGTTTAATTGATATAAAATCACGACGTTATCAATAATATTTTATTATTAGCTGACCCTGTTCAATATACCTGGGTAATCGGCACTAGTATTAGGTAATTTATTACAATGTCAAATATACATGCAGATGCTTCGAACCTTATCCTATAAATGTACGATCGATTTAATGCTTTACAATAAAAAATAAGTTATAAGATTAGAAAGTTTTGTCCTGTAAAGACACATGCTAATATTTATAATAAATTTGAATTGAATTGTTTTTACTGTAATAGTTTACTTATAAAACAGTTATTATAAAAATATAATTTGTATTGGAAAATATGTACATGTACATATAAATTGCACAATGAATTAAATGCGTGATCTGGCACAAGCGAACCCAACAGTTATTGGTTCTCCCTTCTGCTCATAAAAGTAATAATCGTCATCTGCCTTGACGACGCGGCGTAGTACAGGAATATGGTGTATCACCGGCTCGCATATGCCTGGATAACCGATGCATGGTAGGTTAGCACAATTTCCTTCTTGTTCCGTCAGTATCATGGGGAGTCTGTTATAATCGACGTTGAATTTGGGGTACCACGGGCAGATGGCTGCGTCTGCGATTGAGCTTCCGACCGCCGCCGTAGTGCTTGTTGGGCAGGGTTGGTCGACTTGGATTGTGTTCGCAACATGGGCGATTGTAACCAGTTGTGTATCATCAACGTACGTTTTGTTGACCGCGAACAATTCCCCACTTGGTACATTCCGTTCCTGTCTGATTTTTTCGTGCCCTTTAAATTCATCATAGACTGATGGCATTGGTATCGCAGTTACATTCAATATACAAAACAATCCGAGAAAGAGCTTCTGCAAAATTTGAACAACGATGGAGAAACGTTAATAT